CAGAAGTGTATTTCCCAGAATGTGGGACTATCCCTTTCAGTCAAACTATTGAGCATAGGACACTAGCAAACAGTCTGTCAGGTTAAAACTTAACTTACTACAGTTTTGCATAGAGGCTATTAATTTTTGGTACTGAATGTTGAGTATTTCTGCTTTTATTTGAGTCCTATTTCATTTCATATCCTGAGTGCTGACTCCTGTCCCCTTTTTTGTGTCTTTCGTGTGTCCAGATGTCCTGAAGAAAGGCAGCTCGGTCCACCCGGCCCTTCTGAAGAGGGAGGTGGAGGCAGTAAGAGACAAGCAGCGGAGTCCTCTGTACTGCGACCAGCTGCTCCAGCACATCAGCTCACTGCCCACAGAGACTGCAGCAGAGTGCCCCGAGTGACGTGAAGTCCATGCTTCAGTTCAACTCTCGCACCTTAAACTGTACAGTGATCATTGATGAACAATCTATAACACCGTAATGATAATATTAATACAATGGAGTATTTAAAATGAAACTCAGTCGCTGTGTAGCTACTGTGTGAGTAGAGGACTGATTGTTTTTAATGTTTTCAGGTGAACTTTTCAATAAGCCTTTTAATGCAGAATGTCTCCTTTTCCATTTGTTACAGCTTTTCTGCATTCGTTCCTTCTTATTGTATTCCTTTGGTTCTGATGTTTGGTTTTAATGAAAACAAATTAATTTCTGATGCACTGTGGTTATATTTAATATTAGACACATTTTAGTGACACACTCTCTTGTTCATTCCTGCACCCAGACTCTTCGCACTCCTGCCTCCAGAGGGTGCTGAGTCTGAGGGAAGCCTGGTTGTGTGATTTTTCTCTTCAAAATAAAAGTGTACTTTTTTGTTTTATAAAAAACAGACTTAACTGTTGAGATGTCTAAATACAAATCACATTAAAATACATCTGAATCTTAAATATGAAACCATGTTTGAATTCTGTGTAGTAGCCTTATAATAATGGGTAGATACTGTAAAAATTGTGGAAGCATTTTTTTACTCCTATAGTCTGAAATCTGTGTTTAAACACATGGGCATATATAGGCCATTGTCTTTTTTGCGTGTTCTGACCGGATGTGTCTAGATATTCTTACATTTTAAACTTGACACTGATGATAGCAGCGCAGCATCACCTCTCCTCCCTCCCTCCCTCCCTCTCATCCATCCATCCTCTGCACAATCGCCAAGTGAAACTGCTGATTAAACTGCTGACTCTCGGGCGTCTTGTGTGTGTGTGTGTGTGTGTGTGTGTCTGACCCTCAACCATGTAGTCAACTGAGCACTGACAGCAGAGCTCCATCCATGGCATCTTTCTAAACAACGATTCTCTCATCCTCCGGTCCGGTCGTGACATAGATCTCCAGCCCTCCACTCCCCCCGCGTTCATCATGCTGCAGATCGGAGACGAGGTGGTGTATTTCTCGGCGGTGTTCCTGCTGGTGATGCTGGGGACGAGGAGCGCCACGGGGGCCTCCCTCCTCACCGCGTTCCTCTACGTCTTCATGGTGATGTTCCGCTTTCCTCCGGTGCCAGCGGAGCAGGCCGGCCGCGTCCTCCGGCCCAGGGCTCCATCAGGCGGCGTCCCGGTGGTGGCGCACCGCGGAGGGAGCCACGACGCCCCGGAGAACACCGTGGCAGCTATCAGAGAGGTGATCAGATGGAAATATGCAGAAGTGCATGAGCCTGTGTACTGTAATAGGCTGTGGAAATGTAGGCTACAGGAATACTGCAAAATAAAATAAGAATTAATGTTATTACAGTGTTAATGTAATAATGTAGAGCACTACAGGTCATAAGGAGTCCTGAAAGGATTAGGATAAAGGAAAATGTCATGTGTGATAATGAGTATATTACTGGCTTATGAATGATGAGTGAAGCTAAGGGCTTCATTGTTCTCCTTGGCCTTGAAAATGAACCACTTAGAAACTGACGCCATGATGATGTCGACAATAACTCACAGCCTTTTAAAATCCTTTTTTCCCTCACTTTTTTTTTCATACTGAAGGTGCTGAGTCAGCTGTGTCTCATGCAGTAGTCCCACATGCAGTTATCATCCTATACCAAAACTCCTGATATCCTACCTCTCACCTGTCCAGTTCCTTCACATCTGGAAAAGTTAATTTTATTCCTCGAGTCATTTTTTTTAACCTCCCCTTGTCAGGCAACTATTGTATTTGGTGCAAAAGATAACACAATAAATTCTCCTCCTCCTTTTTTTAAACAGTGCTGAAAC